ATTCTCTGGAGCGGCCACTGCAGATCCAAATCTCCATCTTGCCAATTTCTTGGAGATGTGTGACACAATCAAAGTTAACGGTGTTTCTGATGATGCCATCCGGTTGAAGCTATTCTCATTTTCTGTCTGAGATAAAGCGAAGAGTTGGCTTCTGAGTCTTAATCCAGGATCACTCACCTGTTGGGAAAGAATTATCACAAGCCTTTCTGGCACGATTCTTTCCACCCTCGAAGACCGCACAATTACGAAGAGATGTAGGCAACTTCAGACAGATGAGCCAAGAGCCGATGCACGAGTCTTGGGAGAGATTCAAGGACTTATTACGACAATGCCCTCAATACGGATTCAACCCGTGGGATCAAATGGAGTTATTCCACAATGGGCTTGATCAACCAGCCCGATCTTTAGTCGATGTTGCCTCAGGTGGATCATTGCAAAACAAGACTCCCACAGACGCTCGAGACATTGTCGAGCGAATGTGTGAGAATGCTTACCATTGGCCGTCCGAACGGAGTGGTATACAAAAGGTGGCTGGAGTCCACCAACTCGATCCTTTAGCCGCAGTTTCAGCACAATTAGCGACCCTATCAAATCAGGTCGTCCAATTATCAGTTCGAGGGCCACAGACCGAATGAGTAGCAGCAGAAAGTACTTTGCAAGCCACAAACGACGATTGGGAGCAGGCACACTTTATGAACCACCGATTCAACAATTTCCGGGGAACCCACAATCAGAACCAAAACCCTACTCATTACCACCCGGGAATTCGGAATCACGAGTACTTCTCCTACGTCAATCCAAAGAATGCTCTACAACCACCTCCCGATTTCAACCATCAAAGAGAGCAACGAGGGCCAACGTATGACGAGCGTCTTCACCGACAAGAACAGGAAATGGAGGGCCTGAAATCAACAATGAAGAACATGGAAACAAATACGGCAAATCGCCCAATCCATGTCCACATTGGCCAAAGGTGGATTTCCGAGCAATACCGAAGTCAATCCAGAAGAAAGCTGTCAAGCCATAACCACCCGAAGTGGTTTGCAAATGACCGATCCTCCTTATCTGACGGACGAGTCACCGAGGGCAGCTGTGCAACCGACCCCGGTCGAGCCGGAAATCACCATTTCAGGGAGTGGTACAAAAGAGGCTAGTAAGCCCAATAACATTTCCTTTCCTGATAATCCCCCTCTTATGATAACTCCTATTCCTTTTCCAGAAAGACAGAAGAAAAAGAAGTTCCAGGATCAATTAAGAAGTTCATTGAAAAGATCAAACAGATTCGAATCAACATCCCTTTTGCAGAAGCCTTGGAGGTAATGCCAAACTACACCAAGTTCATGAAGGAAGTTATATCCAAGAAAATTCGGATCGAAGAAGACATACCAGTGACACTCACGGCAACTTGCAGTGCCATTCTTCAGTCGAATCTACCACCGAAAATGAAAGATCCAGGGAGTTACACTATTCCTTGTAATATTGGAAATTCTACTTTCGATAAAGCTTTGTGTGATTTGGGGGCAAGTATTAATTTGATGCCTATGTCTGTGTTTCTAAAACTGGGCTTAGGAAATTTGAACCGCACTCGCATGACTTTACAACTAGCAGATTGTTCATTGAAATATCCCGATGGGATTGTAGAAGATGTGCTAGTTAAAGTAGATAAATTCATTTTGCCTGTTGATTTTGTGGTACTTGAAATGCCTGAAGATGATGAAGCACCAATCATTTTAGGTCGTCCATTCTTAGCCACTGGTAAGGCGATGATTGATATGGAATTAGGATCTTTAATGCTTAGGGTAAATGGGGAAGAAGTTGTTTTTAATTTGACAGATGCATTTAAACACTCTGAGCATGTTGAGCATTGCAGTAGAATAGACGTGATCGAGGAATGTGTTTCCTCCTTTTTTGATGTGTATGAATTGGGTGATTCTATTGAGCACTGCATTGTTAATTCTATTGATTTGCATTCTGCCTCCCCTGAAACTCCTACTGAAAATGATGTGCTTGATTGTGTGTTGTTCCTTGAGTGTGCCGAGATTTTAGGCGTAGACGAGGTACGAATTGTCCCCGAGATACCAGTTAGTATGAAAACGGCCCCCGTATTGGAATTGAAACAATTACCGGATTATCTTTGTTATGCTTTTCTTGGAGCAGACAAGACTTATCCGGTGATTATTTCTTCTAGTTTGAGCGAGGCCGAAACAAACACACTGCTGGAGGTCCTTAGAGAATATAGGTCGGCTATAGGTTGGTCTATTGAGGATATTAAGGGAATTAGCCCGTCTATTGTTCAACACAAAATTCTTATGGAAGACGTCTACAAACCGAGAGTCCAACCTCAGAGGCAGTTAAACCCGTCAATGAAAGAGGTAGTAAAAAAAGAAGTCTTAAAACTGTTAGGCGCTGGTATGATTTATGCAATTTCTGACAGTCTGTGGGTCAGTCCGGTGCAGGTTGTGCCAAAAAGGGGTGGGATGACGGTTATTGTGAATGATAAAAATGAACTTATTCCATCAAGAACATTCACTGGTTGGCGTGTATGCTTCGATTACCGATTGTTGAATGCAGCCACTAGAAAACACCATTTCCCCATTCCCTTTATCGATCAAATGCTAGACAGACTAGGAG